CAGCACACATACCACAGAGGCAGACTGCCTGGGTTCAAAATTTGCACTTATCACTCATTTGCTGTGTGTCCTTTGGCAAGTTGCTTTTTCCTGTCCCTCAGATTCCTCAAAGGTTACAATGGGATAATTATAGGACCCATCCAAATGGTTCTGGGGATGAGTTAAAATGTGAAAATGCACACAGTGGGGCCTGGCAAAAATAAGGATGTACAAAAAAAATAAGGATGCACAAAATGTTAGGTGACATCCTCTTTCTCCTCACACAGCATAAAAAGCAGGATTTTTATGGGTAAATATTTCATTTTGAAATTTTTATTTATGTTTATTTTTATTCTTAATGACTAGAGGTAATAAAGTAAAGGAAAAATGAGATTTCCTTATAAAATTAAAAAGCAGGAAACAATGCCCACTGGGAGGAAGTTTCAGATGAGGGGAAGAATGGGATCTGGTGGCAGAGCACCTGGGTCAAGCCTAGTGTGGCTGTCACTAGCTTTGATCCTGGGCACCTGTGGTCTCTAGAACTCATAGCTTCCTCATGTGTTAAAAAAAAGGACAACAAAATCTACATGAAAGGACCGATGTACAGATTAAACAAGATCTATAAACAAAAGTACTTCATAAAATAATAAGTTTAGTAAATGCTATTTTATTACTAGTAATATCACTAGTAGCATTGTTACTAGTAATAGCTCAATCTGAAAGTCCTCCCCTTCCTCCTCCTCCATCAGGCTTAGCTCTCACACACTCCTTCTTGAGAAACAGTGGAGACAAATCTCCACCTATCACTACAAAAAAGTTGACTGCTCGCACACACTCCTTCCTAAGAAACAGTGGAGACAGAGCTCCACCTGTCACTACAACAAAGTTGACTTACCTTGCCAGGACGAGCCCATTCACAATTACGTTCTTGAAAGGCGGTTGTCCAAAGAGGGCCGTGGACAGCACCAGCAGGGTATAAAACCTGAAAAAAAAAAACCCAAATGGTTCAATAAAAATAGAAATGAAGTCCAAGCATAAGAAAGAAACTGTATTTATTCATTGAACTGAATTTCTATTTTTGATAAGTCTTACTTCTTGATAATCACTTAAAGCAATGATTCTTAACACTGGTTACTGAAAAAAAACGGAGACACAGGACCCACCAGAGACCAATCAAATTACTGTCTATGATTTGAAAAAAACATCCAAATAAAGGTCTGGAGTGATTTACTGACCATTTCTCTGTTACCAGGTCTCCCAGGAAGTCTGTGTGGAGAGCCACATGGCAGCACTGGGTGGCCTCTCAGGACCACCCAGAAGCACCTAGCTGAAAATGAGGGATGGTGTTGAATTTGGCACAAGATCATATGGAAAAAACAATTTGATGACAAAAGATGCAAAATGCACTCTCATCCAAGTGATAAGGCAGACTAGAAAATGCTTTTATTCTGTAAAATGCTGTGTACTTCATTCATGTGCTAGCTAACTTGTTCCCCAAATGAACTCATATCCCTGACCACTTTCCCAGGGGTGATGCTCTTCTGCTTCTCTGACCTAGTCCTGCACCCTAAGAACATCAAGGGACATGAGCTGAGGAGACCAGACCCCATGGTTAACATAAACACCGAACCAGATATCCCTCCCAGTTCTAAAGGAGAGTTGGGAGGAGCCCTGGTGCCCAGGAGAGGCAGCCCAGGCCTCAGGGATGGAGAAGGAGGCAGGCAGCAAGGACACGGGACCCACATGAGGACTGTTACCAGCTAACAGACTTTGCTATTCCTCAAAGGAACAAGCTCATGGGTAAGGCATCTAGCCCTTTCTAAAAACAGAATTTGTTCTGGGTAGCTGTTCCTATAGATAAAAAGGACTGGAATCTGAAGACAGCACATTCCAGGACTCGAAGACTTGAACTCAATGATTACCCAAAGTAGTCAAAGAGAAAAAATGACACCAACAATTCCTTAAACATACCCCTGCAGAAACATTACTATGAATACATAATTAAAACCTGGGCTGGGCGCAATGGCTCATGCCTGTAATCCCAGCACTTTGGGAGGCTGAGACGGGTGAGTCACTTGAGGTCAGGAGTTCGAGACCAGCCTGGCCAACATGGTGAAACCTCGTCTCTACTAAAACTACAAAAATTAGCTGGGCGTGGTGGTCCATGCTTGTAGACCCAGCTACTTAGGGGAGGGTGATGCAGAAGAATTGCTTGAACCCAGGAGGTGGAGGTTGCAGTGAGCCGAGATCACACCACTGCACTGCAGCCTGGACAGAGTGCAAGATTCCATCTCAAAAAAAAAAAAAAAGTAAATAAAACCTGGCCCAGCAAAGCCCATCCATGGAAAGAAAGTAATTCACCTTTTTCCAATTAAGGAACTGCTTTACATAAGGCATTAGATAAAAATCAATGCCCAAATCCTCCCCCATATGTATATTTTAAAAAATCTGGATTTGTTTAGAATGTTGATTTATAAGGCTAGCCTCAATATCTGAGCACACTGCCAACTATCCCTCAAATTTCTAGCGCCCAATCTACTGTCTTTTATGCCAATACTCATTAAAAATTTGAGTAAATGATCTGACGTAAGCTAAGAACACATATTGTTTTTTATCATTTCAACGTCCAGTATAACATATATATTCCAAAATGCCAGCGAGATAACTCAAATTGTAAAACTACAGCCCTATTGTAGTGGGAGATTCCTACTCAAAAGGCACTTTAATGTCCGTGCTTGGTGGTTGGGGGGAGAGGGCAGGAATGTAGCCTGTCTTATTTGCCACAATCTCTCCATCACCCAGTAGATAAATGGCAGTGACTTAGTAAAACACTCCCTAAATAAAATGAAATAAATAAAACATGTGATGAAAGAACAAGGGGGCATACCATCCTCTGGTTTGGTCGATGCCCTCGGCAATGAAGTCTGCAGGAAAAGCATCCTCAAACTCCCTCTTGTTTTCAAACGGGTAATGAACCTGAGCATAGGGCATGCTCCCACTCTCAAACCAACAGTCAAACACTTCAGAGACGCGGTGCAAGGATCCCTTTCCACAGCGTGAAGGAATGGTCAGGTGGTCAACGCTAATAAACAGAAAAGTAGCCATTTCTATTAACTGTAAGCATAACAGAACTTGCAGTTTAATTGCTAATTACACAAAACCCTGACAAGACATTATACACACTTGCAAACAGAAATATCAGCAATTCTCAAAGGCTTTCAGAGCGCGCCATGAATCCTCCATCTCAAAGGTTATGAACCATTCACCTCACATTTCACAAGACAAAGGCCACAATACTGCCATATGACATGAGTCATCACCAAAGTAATTCATCAAGCTAGTCTTCCATGTGTGTCTCTGTAATCTGCTAGAGATCAGGTCTTAATAGGAGAACGATAAAACTGAAGTGAATCGAACATTTAGAAACTGACCTCTCTCTGTGGAGATCTGAGATCTTTGCTCCTGACAGTTCTTCAAGTTCTGCCACTGACCCAACGCATACTACCTGTCAAAAACAAAGTTCAACAGCAGGAGCTCCTTAAGAGCCAAACAGAGCATACTGAGTTAATTTATGTAGCATGCATGTTTAGTGTGAGAGACTGATGATTTTCCTTTTCCTTTTTTTTGAGACAGGGTCTCACTCCCATTGTCCAGGCTGCAGTGCAGTGGCACAATCACAGCTCACCGCAGCCTCAGCTTCCTGGGCTCAGGTGATCCTCTCACCTCAGCCTCCCAAGTAGCTGGGGCTACAGGCAGGCGCCACCTCGCCCAGCTAATTTTTTGTATTTTTAGTAGAGACAGCGTTTTGCCATGCTGCCCAGGCTGGTCTCAAACTCTTGGACTCAAGCTATCAGCTGGCCTCAGCCTCTCAGAGTGCTGGGATTATAGGCGTGAGCCACCCAGCCTGAGACTGATGATTTTCTATAAAGGCACATTCACACACCACTCTGGGCTGAAGGATAGTATTCGCTAACGTGGCTTCTCTCTCATGAAAGACACAGCTTAGTCTTAGTCTCTGAAGAGGCCAGGGTTGACACCGCTCCTTTGTTTCCACCCAACATCAGAGGGAGTCCCTACCTAGAGAGAATCTTAAACATTCACAGCCATACTCTCCATGGGTATTAGGGTTTATTATGTGCAAATCGTCAAAGTAACCGGCGTAAGTGAAACATCTTAGATTATTTCTCTAAGGCATCTTAGTTTCCTCCTGGCACCTGAATCTGGCTCATTAATCTAGAATCTTCTCAAGAAAAAGCTAGAGCTAAATTATCGTTATACAGTACTTAGTGGTAGGAATACATTCTGAGAAATGCATTATTAGGGTGATTTCATTAGGCAAACATCACAGTACACTTACATAAACCTAGATGGGATGGCCTAAAACACATCTAGGCTATATGGTGGAGCCTATTACTTCTCGGCTACAAACCTGTATAGCATGTGGCTGTACTGAATTCTGCAGGCAACTGTAACACTATGGCAAGTGCTCTGGTTTTCATATGGTTTGTCCCCAGCCACTCTCATGTTGAAATTTAATCCCCAGTGTGGCAGTATTGACAGATGGGGCCCAATGGGAGGCGTCTGGGTCACAGGGTGGATCCCTCATGAACAGACTAATGCAGTGAGTTAGTTCTCACTCTATTAGCGCCTGTGAGAGCTGACTGTTAAAAAGAGCCTGCCCCTACCCCACCGCCCCCGTTTCTTCTCTTGCCATGTGATCTCTGCATACTCTGGCTCCTGTCCAGCCCTCCATCATAAGTGGATGCAGCCTGAGGTCCTCCCCAGATGCAGATGTCTAGTCTTGAACTTTCCAGTCATCCAGAATCATAAGCCAAATAAACTATTTTTCTTTATAAATTATCCAGCCTCAGGTATTCCTTTGTAGCAACACTAAACAGACTAAAACAGGAAGTATTTGAATTTCCAAACATTATGAAACACAGAAAAAGTACAGTAACCATATGGTATCATAATCTTGTGGGACCACTGTCACATATGTGGTCTGTCATTGACTGAATGACATTATGTGGCACATGACTATATTGTGCTTGGACCCAATCAAAGCAATCAGACAAAGCCACAGGATGCTAGGATTATGTCCAAGTAAAGAGCTGAGAGATGGGGCTAGCTGGGGCACTCAGAATGGAGGAATCATCTGATAAGGGCCACACCAGGAGGAGCTGCTGTGGGTTCTCACCCAGGGAGCTTCTGTTCCTAGTAAACACTGGTGACCTCTTTCTCTGTCCTTCCTGTTCAGTCCTGAAAAGTCTTCTGATTCAGCTACTTCACTGCTGCCTTTCAGGTCCCTATGGGAGATTCACCAAGGTCCCCAGGGTGCTGCTGCTCGTCACTGCTACAATGCTGTCAGCTTTGGACAGAAGGACAAACACAGAGATCTATCTGTATAGTAAATCCTCACCTAATG